GGGGGGGGGGGGGAATAGGAGGCGGCTGGTCGGGCGGGGGAGACGCGTCGTAAGGCCCCCCCCCCCGTGACAAAGAGTCAGACCAGGCGCCTCCGGGAGGGGGGCAGGGTGGCCGATCCACATGGGCGGGTTTTTAGGCCACTCACCCCCCTTCCAGAGAATGAGGGCCCCTGACCGAGAGAAGTAGAGGGGCATAATGATCCCTCCACCCCGTAATCCCTCCACCTCGATCAGGAGCGTAGGGGCAGGCCGGGTCCGGACGGGACCGGACCTGACCAGCAGCGCCCCTAGTGGGGATGGTACGACCGGACGGGAGGCCCACGTCCGGTCGTGGAGGATTGGTTGAGCGGGCCGGGGAGAACTTCCCTCCCGAGGGCGTACCGGAAGTCATACGCAAGCGGTTCCCGGGGCGCCGTCGCGATGGGCCGCAAGGGGCCCGGCAAAAGTTTTAGTAGGTAGGCCCCCTTGGCGGTTAGTTCGGGGGGGAGAGTGCTACACTACCCCTGGGAAAGTCCCGTATTTCTCGGGGGTGTGCGTAATGCATTTCCTCTGCTTAAACAAAAAAAAGGTATTCTTTAAAATAAGGTCTCTATAAACTTCTATTCATCTCTGTGCTATTTATGTCAACATCTTCTCATTAAGATATTTTTGATCATTATTTTACTAACTGGATAATTGCAACGTTGCAATGCTCGTGAGTAAGAAATGGTAGGACAAGTTCTATAAGGTTTATTTCTAAGAGTCAAATGCTTAAGATGCAAGCACATAAAAAATAAATAACATCGTGTATAAATAATAATCTATTGGTTACATATAGTACTCTTTTTTTTGGGTAAGGCAGGAGAAATGCATTACGCATACCCGCGAGCCTCGGAGAAGGATCGCGGGTTATATGGGACTTTCCTCCGCGCAGGAAAAGGTGCGGAGGCATACCCACTAAAACTCCTGCCGGTTCCGTCCTCGCGGCTATAATGAGAGCACCCCGGGAACCGCATTACTTCCGGGATGCTCTCGGCCACACCATTTCGACTTCCCGGGCCGGTTCTTTGCCTCTTTCGGCGGGACGTGGAACCTCCCGTCACCCCGCGATCTCCCTCTCAGGAGTATGGGACAGAACTCCAGTCCCCAGCTGAGCACCGTCCTCCCTTTTTCATCCTGGTCCTAAATTATTTATTTATTTATTGACAGTGGGAGGGGTGAGAAGGGGGAGGGAGGAGAGAGTTGGACGGAGCCTCTATTACGAGGCATCCCCAACTCTCCCTCCCTCTTCAAGGTTAGGATGCCTTGCTCTGAGGAGGAGAAGACGACCCCTGTTGCAAGGCCATTATCCTCAGGCGCCGCGCTTGTATTGCGCTTGTTCTAGAGGGAGACTGTTACAGATGTCGCCGCCGCCCATTGGTTGCGGCGGTCGTCGGTCGTCCCCCTCCTTGGCGCCTCGCTCTGGGAGCCCTTGTTGCGGTTACCTGCCGTTGTTACCAGCATGGCCTCCTGGTGGTGGCGCGTCTGGTGGATCACCTGGCGTAGGAACCGTTAGCAAATTGTCGCTATGCCTTCCCTCGGCGCGCTTCCCTTCAATCCCGCGTTTGTGTGCGGGCAGGGGGGAAAGCACTTCTTTGTCTTCTGGGCCTTCCCTCTGGTTCGTCTTCCACTTCGCCTTTCCTCTTTCTCCTTCCGCGACATGACGTCGTCGTAGAAGGAGGTCACGGTGAACCAGCCCTCTTCTCGCCCTAACATGGGTCTTGATAAAGGCCGAGGGAGAGAGGTACGCTCCCACCACTCCTGTCAGGACTCGGCGCTGTTCCACCCACGAGAGACATACCTCGAGGGTGTGTTGCGCCGAATCCACTGCAGCGTTGCAATGGTGGCACCGTGTAGTGTGGTCCTTTTCTATTTTGTTCAGGTACTCACCGAAACAGCAATGTCCGGTGAGCACCTGAGTTGTCCGGAAGAACAGCTCTCCTTTGACCCTGCCTACCCATTGTTGTAGGCAGGGTCGGATTGCCTCGGCGACCCTATTGCCCGAGTTGCCCGTCGCCCCCTCCAGGTACTTTTGCCACCCCTGGAGAAGGCGTTGACGGGTAGCCTTTCGCATACGGGCGATGACCCTGGCCACGTTCTCTTGGTCCTCCCCCTCCCGCCGCTCCCGAGTTGTGCGATATACGTAGACGTACACCGAATCTAGGAGTTCCAGTGAGGGAAGACCCGCCAGAGCCGTGGCGGCCATGTGCGACGTCGTCCTATATGTACGGGAGAGACGGACGGCGATCCACTGCTGGAACTGATTCACCAGTGACATGAGCGCTGGCTCGTCGCCATCTCCCTCGCCCATATCGGCGACTCATATAACGCCATCAAATGGACGACGTTCACGTAAAGACGCCGTGCTTTCCGCTTCGGGCCACCGAGATTTGGCAGGAGGCTGCCTAATGTATTCGCCACCCTGCCCAACTTGGGGGCCAGAACCTCAAAATGTCACTGGAACACCCAAGTGCCATCCAGGCTGAGTCCCAAGTATTTTATCTCGGAACCCACCTTAACCTGAGCTGTCTCAATCCGGACTTGGGCCTTCGGTGAAACCCCTCGATACCGTCATGTAGAAACATGGCCTCGGTCTTTTTTGGGGGCCACCCTGAAGTCCATCCTCTGAATGGTCCACCGCTATTTGGCCTAGGACCAGAGCTTCATTTCAGTCCCTGCTCCAGGGTATCATCTGCATAGCTGATTGCTGTGCAGCCGGAGGGAGGGCCGTACGGAGGACTTGGTCGTACGCGATGTTCCATAGCAGCAGATCTAGAACCGACTCTTGCGGAACGCCACAGTACACCTCCCTTCCGCACTGGAGTTCCACTTTGTTGCGGAACTCCAGTTTCCTGTCCCTGAAGTAGCCCCGCAACATATGGACCAGATAGGAAGGAACCCGGCAACGTGCCAGGCCATCCTCTATCCGGTTCCAGGGGAGGGAGTTGAAGGCGTTGGTGATGTCTAGTGACACCGCCAACACAACTCCCCCCCTATTTGTTACGGCCTCCGAGAGGGATCGGACGCGACTGATTGCGTCTATCGTTGATCTCCCCTCTCAAAAACCGTATTGCTCCTGATGGAGCGCGGGACCACTTCTGGCCAAATGCCCAACGAGGCGATGATTTATTATTCTTTCGAATAATTTGCTCGCCTCGTCTAATAGGCAAATTGACCAGAACGCGGAAGGGCTATCCTCTTTTTTGCCCTTCTTTCGGAGAACCATCCTGGTCTTCTTCCATGAACTGGGAAATACCCCGGTCACTAGGCACCCGGAGAAGAGACGCCTCATCTTTTCGCCCATCTCGGGCTAGGCCAGGGCCCATACCAAGCTTGGAATACCGTCAGGGCCCGGCGCCTTGCCTTTGGCGTCGAGTTTCCTGATGGCTCGTGCCGTCTCCACCTCAGTGATCCCAAGTTCTTCCTCATTCCAATTCGGAAGGAGACCCTCGTATGGGGGTATGTTCTTAACTTCCCTTGGGAATAGGGTCCCCACTACGTCGATGAAGAAGTCGGGGTCCAGGGATTCCGTAGGAAAGAATTCCCACGGACGAAAGCGCTTCATCACGATGTGATAAGGGCGCCCCCATGGGTCTCTGTCTATGGTGGAGATCAGCTCCTCTCAGGCCCGGGCCTTGGCCCTGGCAATTGCCTTCCTTAAGGCCCCTCGCGCTTCGCGGAGGGCCCCTCCTTCTTGTCCTCGTCTGGCCCGCACGTACCGTCTGGGCAAGGACGGAGGAGCGCCTCAACTCGGCGATCTCCTCCGTCCACCAGTAGGCGGACCGGCGGGGGAGAGGGCGGAACCAAAACATGGATGCATCACAAGCGTCTTCCATTATGCCTCGGATGCTTTCTGCTTCCTTCTCTATAGCCGCGCGGAACACCTCTAAGGAACCCGCGTTCGACCATGTTGCGCTGCAGATAGCGACCGTTAGTCCGTCGCAGTCGAGCTTGGCTAGGGCCCACCTCTTGGGTGGTGTCCCCTTGGCCGCGCCTCATGAGCACCTCTGGAGTGGCGACCACTCAGACCTCGATATATCGATGATCCGAGAGTGTTTCCACTTCGGTCGCCATCCACCAGTTTCTTATTCTCCGGGCCGCGGGGAGTGATGCCAAAATGATGTTTATTACCGACGACCCTCGCGACCCTACGAAGGTGCTCCTATGGTCTCTATAATGCAGAGGCCGAGAGACACGACCCAGCCCTCCATGTCCGTGCCCCTGGCGTTTGTGATCGGGGAACCCCATAAGTCACATTTGGCATTGAAGTCCCCAGCCACTATGACCGGTCTGGGGCTCCGACTTCTAATAAAGTCCACAATTGGTTCAAATACGCCTTAAATTGGGCACGGCTCCATGAGGGCGGAGCGTAACACCCAATCACCTCTAGGGCCTCCCACTTGACCGCGACGATCCCAACCTCCCTCTCCAGGACGGAGAAGGGGGCGAGGCTTTGGAAACTCTCTAAATGATGACCAATTAGCCCTCCGCCCCCTTTCGTCATCCACAATGCACGGGTGACCCTCGGGGACGGAGTAGGGCTCGGCGGCCACTCCCAGGCCCGAATCAAGCTCGGCGAGGTTGTGCAGAAAGAGGTCCTGCGCTTCCCGAGCTTGATTCAAGTTAGCTTGGAGGAGTAGGATAGCCATATCTTATCTATGACCCCGCTATTCCCTCCAGGCTCCTCATCTTCTTCACCTCCATAGGGATAGTGGGGGAATGGGGTGCCCTTTTTCCCTCCTCTTTTAGATGGAGGAGGTCGCTCTCTCTCCCCTTCGCCTTTCTCTCCCACGACTTGGGCACCCTCCGCTCCTTAGATGGTTCAGAAGGCGCCGGAGGTACGAGTTTGGTGGCTCCCCCCTCTCTGTGTTTTTGGAGGGGGGCCACCCTTCGCCTTCTTCTGTGGCCCAGCCCTGAATTTGGATTTGCTGGGCCCCTGTGAATCTTTCCCTTTTTTTTTGGTGGGGAGAGCTCCTTCTTCCCCTTAGTTTTGGGAGATGGGGGAGATGGGGGAGCGCGCGGGGCAGCCGACTTCGCTCCGCGGCGGTCCTTCTTCCTTATTGCTCCGCAGGCCGCTCTCCCTATACGGTGGCCATAGGGTCTGCCAGCTTCCCTGCAAAGGGTGCAGCTGGCCTCCGCCGTGCATTCGGCGGCCCTATGGCCGATGGTAACAGAGACCGCTGCGGTCCATCCCCTCCTTGCACGCGGCCCTCACATTCCCCCATTCCAGGCAGCGGAAACACTGGAGCGGGCGCTGTGTGTGAGAACCTCTACTCGGACGGAGGCTCAACCTACCTTGAGGCGGCCTTCGCTCGTCATCTTCTAGACCGCGGTTAGGGAACAGTGGATCCACAGTGTCCCAATGTCGTTTAGGCCGAGTCTAATCGACCCGGCCTTTTACATACACTACCCTTAGGAAAAATTACATTAAATTGTTTAAAATAACTTAAAGTAATTTTTCTTAAAGGCACCCTTACGAAAAAAACTATAGAAATACGAAAATATTACTGGCATACTATTGAAGAACTACAATTTTTCAATAACATGTCAGTAGTTTTTTCGTATTCTGTAGTTTTTTTCCATAAAGGTACAGTTGATATAAATGAACATTAGATAAATAGCTGTTATATTTTTCGCTTATTAAACAGCTAATTAAAAATGACCTCTCAAAAACGTATTATAGACGTCTCTAAATAATATTATTATCACGTCAAAATTATCACGTTTTTTAAATATCTGTTATTGATTACATGAAGTCTAGGACTGGTAGTCACCATTTATCGACGTCAAAATGACATAACGTTGCTGCCTGGGGGTTAAAGGATAGTAGCATTGATAGCGTTGATAGCGCATATTCTCAACATGTTTATAGTCGAATTTTATATTTACGACATTTATGTCTAAGATCGGATATCTTATGGACATCCAAATTGTGGACATTAACGGATGTCCAAAATCAGATATCTTATAGACGTCCACTGCATGTCCATGGACGTGTGGACGTAAAATGGACGTCCATAGAACATCCTATGCTATCTGGGAAGTAAGTCTCGCCACATCCATTGTACTCAGCGTCTGGTTGAGCGCGCGTAGCGCCGCAAGCGCGTGTCCATTGCGCAAACGCAAAGCGATTGCCATCTCAAATAGCTTGCCGAATAACCCTTACGGAAAAAACACTCAAATATTGAGCGTTTACACTCAAATTTAAATGCTAACACTTTAATCTTGAGAGTTTATTCTCACATTTGAGTGTTATACTCAAATGTTGAGCGTTTACACTGAAGTTTGAGAGTTTACACTCAAACCTTGAGTGTGGACTCTCAAAGATTGTGCATTTATACTCAAAATTCAGTATATATTTTAAAGGTTAAGTATATACACTTAATGATTGAGTTGAGTTTAAACTCGTTTGAGTGTTATTCTCAAGAGTCATTAGAGTGTTAACACTCACGATTGAATATTAATACTGAAATGTAAAGTCAGAACGCTCGCAGCAGTTGAGCATTAAAAAAGTGATTGCGTTAAATTTTTTAAGTAAATGCAATAAAGTTAAAATATTGCGGTTGTATAGTTTAATAAACATTTGTTCTTAAGTTAAAAATGTTCTTGAAATTTTTTTTATTTAGGTAAACTATAATTAAAATAGCTAAAACATAGCTAAACATAAGGAAAGTAATAATATTAGTATTAAATATAAAATAAGAATATAATATT